GGCTGCCAGGTTGCGGCTCGGCCACATTCCTGCCCGGGCCGGGCTGGAGGGGGTCCCCGAACGCCGAGAGGGAACCCCAGCCTTCCCCGGACTGCGGGCCTGGCACTCCCGCCCGGGTTTTGCCCTTGCAAACCTTGGCTCCCCAGGGCCTTACCCTTCTGGCTGGTCTTGGGGAGAGGAGTGTGCTCTGGCTCCCCAGCTCCCCCATTCAGAGCAGACGGGGCCAGTCTTTGGGGACTAGCCTTGGAGGGACCTGTTGAGAAGGGTTACCCCATGAGCCTCTGGCCTCCTGGTGGCCCCTCTTGTCCTGCCACCTAACCCCTGTCTGGCACATGATGGGTGGGAGGCCTTTAACTGGGAGGAAACTTTCAAAATCCTTTTTTCTTTTAAAAGTTTCATTTAAAGAAAAACACCCAAGTCTCTTTTGCCTTAGCAGTCGCTCAGGTGGTGGTGTTTACTGCCTTCACCTAGAGCTCAGGGGAGGCCACATCCTGCCTGCAGTCAAAGCTGGGAGTGGGGCTCTCACCCCAACTCTCTTCCTTGGGGGTGGGTATTTATAGCCCTCTCCCCGGGTGAAGTAGTCAGTGGCAGCTGCTGCTCCTTAAGGACCCACACACTTTGATAATGAGTGGAATTCCTGACCCACTGACCCCGCCTCTCCGTGGACATCCCCGCATCCTCTCATCTCCGTTGGAAGGTAGCACTTGCTGCAACTTGGCCTTCAGAACACCCGTGATCTGGTCCTTTCTAGCCTCATGTTCCACATCCCCTGACCACAGGCTGGTGCCTCTGATGCTGCTCCGTCCACTTGGCAGGCCTTTCTCTCCAAGCCCCTTCTGCCTCGCTCAACACCCAGTCACCGTTCCACCTGCCAAAGCCCTGCTGGCCCCCTTTAATGCCCAACTTGTTACCTCCCCTGGGAAGTCTTCCTTGATGCTTCCCAGAGCCATGCTAGAGGCTGTAGCTTCATCCCCATTCCCTGCTGGTACCTTGTTCCTGTGTTTGTTATAACTCCTGCCGCCCTGGCCCACCCCGAGCTGGGTGTGTGCTCAGTGAGTTGGGTGGACGGGGTAAGGGAGCAGAGAAGGCAGAGGCAAGAGAACCGAGTGCTTGTGTGGATACCCGAAAGCAGGCTGTAATGTGAGCCTTGGAGAGTCACTGACCTGCTCCCCTGGCTGTCATCCTGCAGCCCAGCACTGTCTGGAAGGTGCCCCCTAGGTTGGGGAATGTCTTGCAGCCAGAGAGTGGGGCCCACTGTCACAACTTGGGAGCTGTTTCCAAAAGCTCTGCAGCAGCCAGTGCCCACACTCCACCCCTCCCCCATCCTCTGACATTAGTTCTCAAGCACAGCCCCTCCCCAGCTGGGTTTATTAAACTCTCCACCCAGATTCAGGTACTGGACCCTCAATGTCTCCCTGGCCTACCCTGGTCCCCTTTGGCTTTTGTATTTCCAACCTACACCTCCAATGACACCTTGTCCTGTGAACACCATCAGAGCCAAACTTCTAGAAATGTCTGCTTCGTTCTCGGTCCTGGAAGATGTGGGGGTGGGGCTGCCACCTCCACAGCCCAGCCCAAGTATGGATCCTTCTCTGAAATTAGGCGAAGAACATGACAGATTCCTCAGTAAACCCGGGAGCCCAAAGGGCTGCTCGCTGTCACACGGTTAACCCAGGGCCCCAACTCCAGTCAAATCGGTTAAAAACTAGCACCTGTGTCTAGGATGGAGCTGTCTTACTCAGGCTGCGTGATGAGTCAGAAAGTCCAAAGCTTTGACCAGCCTGGAAGCCAGTGAACCTCTAGGCATGCTGTGCTCTGGCTCTTAGCGTTTTCTGGATGGTGGAAAGTGACAGAGAGAACTTTCTGGTGTTCATCTTACCAGATCCTCCATCTGGGTTGGTTGTTGATCTCCCCAGGGGCAGAGGAGGTGGGGGAAGTTATACTGAATCTGCAGTGCAAAAAAAAAAACCCCTGGTAGAATGATTTTGTTTTGGCCTTTTCTGAAGTGTTGCCGAGACAATGACAGGGTTGGGGACACATAATTGAGGGTTCTGGTTAGTGAGGCCCCAGGGGATGGAGATTTCCTGACCACCTTGTGGCAGGATGGCGCAGGAGCCCCTGGGTCTGGCCACGGGGAGGTTGCTGAGCTCGTGTTTCTTCCTCTTTTCAGCCTTTCACAGAACCTCAGTATGGAAGGGGGCACCCCCTTGGTGTGCAAATAAGGTCTCAGGCAGGGCGTGTGATGTGACTCTTGCAAGGACACGCAGCACATTCGTGATAGACCTGGGATTCGAACCCAGACCTCTTGGCTTCCTGTCCATTGCTCTTTCCATGCTGTGGGTCAGCCCTTCTCTGGCTTCATTCCCAAGCCCGGGGAACACAAGTCACAGTTGGGCCCTCAGCTGCAGGCTCAGAATCAGGACCTTCTGTGGGGGATATGTCAGCTTGGCCTGTTGTGGTCTAACTGTGTTCTCCATCCTCGTAGAATCCAGCCTCTCTGCCCACCCCCCTGGCCTCCGCCTGCGCCCCAAGGTTATGCCCCCTGTCGTTTGGCGAAGGAGTGGAGTTTGATCCCTTACCACCAACGGAAGTAAGGTAAATACAGCAGGCTCTGAGTTTACTTTATTTTAAAATTTTTCATTTCAGAGATTAATGCTTGTTTTTTTTAAAACAAAAATTTAATCACAAAAGCATGCCAAAGACTAATCATAGTTTGGTAGGCACATGCTCCGATTTTTTCCTGCATTCTAACCAGTTAAATATATAGACACACTTTTAAAAATAAAAACAAGATCATGTTACACATAAAGTCCTGCAACTTGCTTTTCATACCTCATCTATCATGGCCATCAGATGTTTAAAACTTTCTCATAAACTAATTCCTCTTTCCAAAAGCTGGGATCCATTTCCCCTCCCCCACCCCACCTCCCAACCCTGCTTCAAGGTGCTGTTGCCTTGTTTTATGTTATAATTTCACTGGGAAAGTACCATCCTCTCTTTGGGAATTTATCTCATCCAGGATTATCTGGGGGCAGATTCACTGAGAGGCTCTGTTCAAGATCTGTCTTTTTAGAGAAAGGAATTTTACTTTTGGGAACTGGTGGTTTTATAGCTGGAGTTTCAGTTGCCTTAACACAAAGGGCCCTTTGACGTGGAACAAAGGAGGCTCACCACTTTGGAGGTGAGCAGTTCAGCCCTTTATTCCTGCAGCGCTTGTATTTTGAACAAAATGAGGACATGACTTCATGACATTAGCTTTCACCAGCCTCTTACCTACTTACCCAGAGAGAATAGGTGTTTCCCTCCAGCTCATTGAAAAGAATGCTGATTCTTACTCCTTGACTAGTGGGTAGGGGCTGTGGGGGGACAGTGCTGTTAGATGTGTCTATGTGTGATGTTCATATATATATATTTTAGTACTTAGGAAGCTGTAATAATTCTGCAGGAAAATGAACTAATGCTTTGCTTACATAAAAAATATTAACTCCCAAATTACCAAAGAAGGACCTAAAAATAAATAAATAAATAAATAAATACAGTAGCCGCTGAGGAACATTGATGTTTGTTTATTTTATGGAANAATAAATACAGTAGCTGCTGAGGAACATTGATGTTTGTTTATTTTATGGAAGTCAAGATTGTAATTTGTCCTGGCCGGTGTGGATCAGTTGGTTGAGCATCTTTTTTCGCCGGTTCAATTCCCGCCCAATCAAGGCACATACTCAGGTTGCAGGTTAGATCCCTGGTTGGGGTGCATGCAGGAGACAACAGATTGATGTTTTTCTGTCTCCCTCTTCCATCCTCTCTCAAAAAAAAAAAAACCAATAAAAACATTTTTTTAAAAATGATTGTAATTGGCTTTGATTGATAAGATCAGGTCTCAGGTCCCTGGGTTTGAGGGGGTCTCCAAATTGAAGACCAAGTACTAGTACTTGTTATCACTGAGCATTCAGGAGCGGCATACAGGATTTCTGGGTTCCTTCACCCTCTCTTTAAAGAGCTAGTTGATCACTTCAGGGGCCAGCGAAACTGTTCACCGCTGGGTAGCTGTAGAACTCCCGTTGTTATGTAATGATCACCCCCCACAGCACTTGCTGTGTTAACATCCTGCCCCGTTCTCATTGGGCACCTTTTACAGAGAAAGGTACCTGAGGCTTGGAAAAGCTCAGGAGGAAGGTCGGTAACTTGACCGAACTCTCACAGCCTAAGTAAAGGGGTGTAGACTCCAGGAGCCGCCTACGGGAGAAGCAGTGACTGCAAGGTAAACCCTGGAGGCAGCCCCCCCTGCTACTCCCACTGTGACCTTGACCTCTGCACCTCCATTTCCTCTCCCAGGGTTGTGAGGACAATTAAATTAGGTCCTGGAAGTGAAGTGCTTCAAATAGTACCACACAGTAAGTGCTGCATTAACTCTGCGATGCTTCTGACCCGAGTAGTCCCATCTGAAGGCTTGCACCCCACCAGAGGTTCAAGGTCACTCCAGCGCCCCTAGCCCCAAGGGCTCACCATGCCGCCTTCCCTCTCCATCCCAGGTACACTTCCTCAGTCAAGTACGACTCGGACCGCCACTTCATTGACGACGTCCGCCTGCCCCTGGGCCTTGCAGTGGCCTCCTGCAGCCAGACGGTCACCTGTATCCCCAATTGCACGTGGCGCAACTACAAGGCCGAGCTGCGCTTCGAGCCCCGCCACAAGCCCACCCGCTTCCTCAGCACCACCATCGTCTACCCCAAGTACCCCAAGACCGTCTACACCACCACCCTGGATTACAACTGCCGCAAGACGCTGAGGAGGTTCCTGTCCAGCGTGGAGCTCGAGGCCACCGAGTTCCTGGGCGGGGACTGCCTCTCGGATGAGTGCTGACTGCAGGCCGGTGGGGCCCGGCCAGCGCCGCCCTGGGCCAGCTGGGCCACGCTGCCCTCCAGTGTCACTCATGCCCCCAGGAGTTTAACCTAGAGGTGCCTCTAAGCCCAGCCTGGGGAAGAAAAACATGTCACAGCGTCTTATAATAATTGAGAGAATTTGGTTTTAAAAATGTTTTTAAATAGTATTGAAAAGGAGTGTATTTCTAGTTTGCTGCTGCACAGTTTCCCCCAGAGTCTCAGTTTGATGAGAAAATAAAGAGACCACCAGAGCCAAAGGAAAAGGGGCACAATCTGAAATAGGGAGGGAGGGGAGCGCTTCTCGTCCATCGGTCGGTCTGGCTGAGAAAGCGTGGAGAAAGTCTCGGGAATGGAAAAAGTGAGTTTGGAGCGGTTCGGCCCCGGGTGTCCTCACTGCTGCGCGTGGTGCTAGTTCATGGCTGTGATACCCATATGGGCTCAATCTGTGGAGAGCGGAGTCCATTCCACTTTTTATTTCCATTTCCACTTCTATTTCCTGCTAACCGAAACGCTTGGAATTCTCTCAGTCTTTTCTGCAACATCAAAAAACCCAAACCACAGAATAAGATGTTTTTTTAAAAAAAGAAAGGAAAGGTTCATCCTGTTTTCACCTCTTCGGTTGGGTCAGGTCGACCGATGGCCGGGGTTGGGAGCAATGGCTTCGGTCCGGTTCCGCCCCCGCCGGTGGCTCCTGAGCTCAGGCCCTGGCAAAGCGCCTCGCACCCTTGGCATCTGGTGACGTCTCCACGGGCTTGTGTAACTCTCCTGATATGTATTTTGGGGTTTCCAAATACTTTCCTGTTTTTTCATAGAGAGGAACGGCATTTTAAAAGAGGGCTTAGGAAAAATGCTTTTGGGGATCTCACGAGGGGGCTTCACTCACAGTGGGAACCAGTGGCCACACCCAGGGCCTGAAGCCATCTGGGAGGAGACAAATAGAGATGTTTCTGGTGACCTGGCTCATCAGGACGGGTGTCCTCTCCAGGAACCCTGGGTCAGCTGCTCCAGGACTCTGATTGTGGCAGCATCACAGAGAAGTTCTGCCAGGGCCTTAGGTCTAAGCCAGAAGCAAGGAAATTGCTCCTGTCCCCCTCCCCCAGGTGCAAGAAGAGGCGGAGTCAAAGCAGGGACTGATGTCACAAGTGCAGCTCCTGCGCCTGGGTGCTCTTGCGATGGTTCACATTTCTCTTAAGTGTTCATTTTAGTGTAAGAGACACTAAAATGCGTGGAGTGTGAACTGCAGAAACTTTGTGAATTCAGCTGAACCGGCCTCGGCAGCGGGGACGGCCGCTGGGCCTGGAGGTGCAGTGGGCCAGGCTGCCTCTGGCTCGCCCCCTGCCTGCCCTGCCTCACCCCAGCCCTCACTTCCTGCCAGTCCCTGAGGTTTTTGAATGAAGGAAGCGGCAGATGGCTTTTCTCTTCCAGTGCTGGAAAGAACAAACGTTGAATATTTCCTCTGAATACATCCAAATTATGTCAAGTGCTCATATTGTAAGCTCGGGCTCCCACTGTGTCTCCAGGTTTCTGCTGATGCCCCTGAAAGCAGAATTGATAGCTCTGTGGGTACCCTGGAGCCACAGCAGGGACTTTTGTTCTGAGGAGAGCAGGTGTGAAGATAATCGCACTCATTTAAAGTCATTGGAGGCCTATGGAGCCTAATTGGTGTCCTTCAGATTTAACAGTGTGTCGCCTGTCGTGCTCCTAACTGATCGCAAGCATCCCTGGTGGAGCCTGCAGGGGGCTGGACCGCCCTGCGTTTGCCGTGGTGGGGCGCAGCGGGAGTCCCCCCAGAGGGGCACTCTGGGGCCCTGTCGTCTCCGTAGTCACGCAGAGCAACAAATGCTTCCTGTGTCTGGAAAAGCAAATTACATGGCATTTATGATAAAAATTGATTTTTCTCTCCGGTTCTATAATCTCATCGTGTAAGACAAGTGGTAAATGTAATTTTTAAATTATGTAAAGAGAATTTCCAAGGCTTTGCTCTGGCCCAGTGGGGACACTGGAGTGAGCTCAGAACACTGTCATGGGCAGCGCGTCAGGGGAGGCAAGGACTGGAGAACGTGGCCTCTGACCACAGCAGTGTCCTGAGATGTCCCCGTGGGGTTTTGTCTTAGGGGGATTGGGTTAGGTGCAAATCATTCTAAGGGAGCAGAGAATCTGAATTATATCAGTAAAGTAGGTGGAAGTGAGCGATTGCAAAGTGCAATGAGAATGGAGAAGCAGGTTTTAAGTTTTTCACTAGGGAACCAACATTAGTTCGTCTAATCCTTTCCCTGCAAACCTGCCTGGCTGAACGTTGCAGAAAAGGAAGCAAGTGAAGACACAATGGGACGCTTCAGGGCAGATAAATGACATCGGTGAATGGTGGGTTCCTTGTTGGTTTGAGAGGCGGAAGCAACGATTTTTAAAACTCACTCGTTAAAACCAAACATTCCTAAGTGTACCTGAGAGATCCAGTTTACTTATGAATTAAGGGCTTTTTTCTCAGGCTCTTAGATTATGGCTTTCATGTAATAAGGATGATTTGTATTTTCAGAAAAAAAAAAAAAGTTGTTTTCAAATCCAGACCTTTTAAAAAAGAATGATTACCTTGTCACTTGACACTTTTCCTGTTTCTAACCTTAGCAGGATAGCATTTGACAAAAATGATATTTTAAATTTACCTTGGACATCTCTCCCACTCCGTTTTGCTTTGTGACTTCTTCATTTAACAATAAATTATCTTCAAAAAAAACCTTAGAGATGTTTCTCTTTTTTGAAGTAAAATTATAATATTTTGGTTAAGAAAAATGAGAAAAACAGCTCTTTGTCTTAGATTTTTTTTAAGATGTGATTGCAATTTAATAGAATAGGACTTGTCTGGAGTATGCCTTTCCTAGGCAATGCAAGATTTCCAAGGGGTCCCTGGGCACAGACAGTTTTAAGGAATTTGTCCCCAGATTCCATGTGTGCTCTTTCCTAAGCCCGATCTGCCCTGAAAATGTGGCTGTGAGTGACTGCAGGCCAGTCCTCCCTTCCCACCTCCCCTTTCAAATGGCCTTTCTCCCACTTTTCAGAAGAAATGCATGTCTTAGTCCAACCATCTTTAATTTTATTGGGGGGCATTGCCCTGGTCTGGCAAACCTGTAGGTACTAGTCAAAAGAACAGAAACATCAGCGTCTGGGCATCGGGACCCCACTATAGGGGTTGCCAAGGATGAAGCGCGGCGGTGGAAGCAAGGTTGGCCCGTGGGGAAGTGCTCCCTCCCAGCATCTCCTGCAGTGAGGCAGTTGGAGAGGTAACACTTTCCATGTAGCACCCACGTCTCTTCAAGCTCAGGCTCATGCCTTCCCTTCGGGCCGAGCAAAGAGGGTCGAGGAGAAATACTGAAAGCGAAGACATCCGACTTCATTCAGGCGTTGCATCCACGGCAAGGCTCTGCCTCATCTGGTCGTCTTTCAGTTACGACTCGGAAATAAATGTCCCACGAATGCATATTATAATGCCTATATATATATATTTTAAAGCCAATCTCTTTCTAACAGAAATTAAGTCTAACTTGGCTGATTGGGATGACAGTGAGGCCTAATATTGCCAATTAGGTTATATGGTGTAAATTTCCCTTAAAAGGGCTAATCAGCAGTTCCAAGGTTTTGTTGGAAAAACATTTAAGATGTGTAAGATTAAAGTTATAATGAGGGGGGGTATAGAGAGAGGCAAAAAAGTGTGTTGAAACTAATAATGTTTCAATATTCCATTGAAAAATACCTTTCTAAGTATATCAGATTAAGCTGGTGCCCTCAAGAGAAAAAGTAGGTATAATTAATAATAACATGATAAATCTTAGGAAAGCTTTTTGGTATACTTCCCAGAAATTTAAGAAGTGAATGACTCTATCGATTAGGTAATGAATCCTATTGCCAGAAATGCCTCTTTTCAAGATTAAATACTAATACTTTTATTTTAGAGTATAATCACTATCTAGCGGTTTGTTTCTATTACTATTTCCCAATGTGCTTTCTATGGAGTGAATAAGGGTCTATGATAAAATAATTTGGGGGAAATTAAAAGTTGAAAAATGCTAATTATATTTGTTGCAGGGCTCCTAGGAACCCTTGTATTAATCAGCTTTTGTGGTGTAACAGCTACCACAAATCACAGTGGCCCACCGCAGTAAGCAGTTATTTCTCGCTTACAAAGTGTATGGGTCCCGTAGAGCAGTTCTGCCCAAGGCTAGGTACTGAGTTCAGGGTTGTACCTCTTGTCTCTGAAGCAGACTAGGGAGGCTACCTGGGTCACATTCTTCTCGCAGAAGCTTTCAAACCATACCAGAGAAACAAGTAGAGACATACCTCTTACATGCTACACTGGCACCCTGTGACTTCCACCCACGTCCTACTGGCCAAAGCAAGTTGCATGACCAAATCCAACATCACTGGGACGGGAACCACAGTTCCCCATGGGTGTGCGAGAAGTGAATGCTTGCTGTACCATATAGCCTTTAACATGTTAATGTGCATTAAGAATCTTCAGGCGGGAAAAATCTAGCATGTAGCACTTTCCAGACTCATTGGACCAGAGAACCCATGAGCATTTCATGAACTAATTAAACTGACAAAAGACATTAACAGGAGAAAAGGCATATACATTTTATGGATGTTAATATTTTTATGTGCATGAGGGCTTCACAGAAAAGAAAAGCCCAAAGAATTGGTTAGACCTGGAGCTTATATACCATTTTAAGAAAGGGGGATAAATTGAGGAGAAGGAAAGGGGTTTGCGGCTGCTAGAGCCAATAACACTGTGGGAAAGTGACTAGGAAATATATTGGGGAAGCTAATGGGAGATAGGGGTAAATTTAGTAAGGTCTGTTTAGGCGACTCGTCTTGGTGCTGGCTCTCTGCTCTCCTCATTCTGGTCCAGGAGAGGGGTGGGAATCGGTGCCACCGTCACAAAGGGAAATTTGCATCCTGCTTTTACACAGATAAGGGGAGAGCAAACAACTTTTGCTACATCTGTTGATTTTCAATTGCCTTCAGCTCAAAATAATTCTTATACCAAAGTGGCATATTTATTGTGGCATATTCCGGACCCCTTCACCAGACCACCTGTGTTCGAACTAGCTCCATCATTTCTTAGCTGTGTGACTTTGAGCAAGTCCCTTAAACTCTCTATAAAACAGGGGTAACAAGAGTTAATTTCTCCATAGAGATGTTGTACGGATTAAATGAGTTAATAAATGCAAACTGCTTAGAACAGTAAGTGTTTATTGTTTTAATTATCTTTTGGCTTGTATTTTCACTTCCAAGAATGTACCCAAAGCACTGGAAAATTACACTAAAATGTGCATATAAGGATGTTCCTGGCAAAGCTGTTTAGAGTAGCCAAAAATAGGAAACCAAGTAGATGTCCACAAACGGATTGAATAAATTGTCTGTACATTGAAGTACTAGGCAAGCATTACTGAGTATGTGGTGGGTGCTGATTTAGTGATTTGGAAAGATGTCCATGCTATATTTTTTAAGAGAATGATTGAAAGACATTTGTTGTTTGTTATCCCATTAATTTTGTTTTCCTATATGTAGCATGAAAAGAAAAAGCCTGGAAGCCTGGATACCAAATGGATGGGGTGAGCTCTCTCTGAATAGAGGAACTTTTAGGTGTTTTAAAATACTCTTTTGCTTACCTGTGTTTTCGAATTTGTCTGTAATACATACGCATTTCCTGTGTAGTTTGAAAAGTAAAACCTGAGTGTAGAACTTTGTACAGCTTTCTGGTGATTTAAGTGTAGAGAACCAGAGTTAAATGGTTAGTCTGTCTGTCTCAGACCAGGCTGGAGAACTGTAAAGAGTCAGCTTTATGCTATTTGCAGGCTAACAAATTAGCCTGCCACATTTTCATGGATGTTGGCTAAAGACATGAGACTCCTGGGTCAGAGACAAAGGACAGTTTATTCGTCACGGCAATAGCTAGAGCATCAGCATTTGTGCTGGTTCCGAGCCTCAGTTCCCAGAGAGCGATGTGAAGAGGGCCAGGTGCCACCGGAACATAGGGGTTTCGTCACAGCAGAGGAACCCTGAGCTTGGGAACTGGAACCGTCTACAATAAGTAGTAAGCAGATCTGCCCTGTGCCCCGGAGGGAGACACTCCCGTCTTCCAAGGCTGTTCGTCATGGCGACATCCTTCAAAAGACCGTCTGGAACAGAGGTGACTCCCCTCACAAGATGTGCAGACACAGGAGAGACCTGGGGGAATGTCTCCCAACAACCGGAGCCTCTCAAATGTTAATGGGCATATGAGTCACCCAGGGAACTCATTAAACTACAGGGTCTGATTCAGGAAGTCTGGGGTGGGGCCTGAGAGCTGGCTAACAGGAGGGTTTCTAACAAGCTCCAGGCCGAGTTGGTGCCGCTGGTCCCGGCCCACGTTTTGAGCAGGGGCCTTGGGCGGCACCCTCAGTGCCAAGGCATGGGCAGGGGCTGCCGCCGGAGCGCGGCCTGGGGGCGCGTGATTAAGGGGGGACGGCTGAGTGAGGCAGAGCCCTTCCTAAACCCTTCCCACGGACAATCAGAGGGGGACGTGTCAGTAGTTTTAAAGGCTGGATTTGACCATGAACAAGTACATAGTGTGGCCAGGAGGCCTGAGAGTGTTCTCCCACCACCCCAGGGGCCCTCTGGAGCCCAACTGTTAGGGTTTCTCCCTCCCCTGGCCCCCTCTCCCAGGAAGCTTCTCTGCCGGCCACAGTTCCCAGGAACAACTTCCTTTCAACCCCCCAAC